TTTTTTTGCACCAGACTTGAAGTTTTTGCATCTATTCGTGAAAACCACGCATACCTGAATTTGGAGTATTTAAGCTATATTTGAACGGGGTACATCCCCTAAAATTCCAGCTTTCTAGCTTCTCTGGTCCCCGACTTGATAATTTTCTCGCCAAAACTTTCACATGTTCGTACTTGGGTACTCCAGACACTTGAGAAGCCGAATTTGAAACCTTTAAATTGCACGTTGACGGGGAACATCACCCTCAAATTTCGGCTTTTCAGCTTTTCTGATTACTGATTTAGCAACTCTCCCGTCAAATCTTTCACTTGTTTGCACGTGGGAACTACGCACATCTGATGGTTGAATTTGAAATATTTAAGTTGTACTTGGACAGGGAACATTACCCCATAATTTCAGCTTTCTGGCTTTTCTGGTTCTCGAGTTAGTAATTTTCCCGCCAGAAATTTCATACGCCCTTATGTGAGTACCGCGCATACCTGGAGGTTGGATTTGAAACCTTTAGCTCACACGTGCACAGGGAATATCTCCGCATATTTTCAGCCTTTTATCTTGTCTGATTCCTGAAATCGCCTTCCCGCCAAAAAATTTGCATGTTTCTTTAAAACGTCCGTACGCGGCACCCAGGCGTAGGCGGGCGATGATAATAAAATGTGAGGGTCGCGCATAGTGTGGGCACATACTTCTAAAGTTTCAGCCTTCTAGCTTTTCTGGCTCTCGAGTTGAAAATGGGTGACAAACAGTGCGAACACACAGACACACACACACACACCCAGCCTCTTGCCAATACGCGTTTTTGCAATTTGCATATATGCAAAAACTCTTAAAAAGTGATTGCCAAATTTTACAGGATCAGTTTTTTAGGCGCATTAAATCTTAAATCAAACAGGAAATTAAGTACAGCTCAAAAGTCAAATAAATAACGATGCCAAACAAGGCAGCTGGTAGGACTATGCGTTTTGCGCAGTTTGGCTCAACAGACGCTCGCTGTTAAAACGCGAGTAGAAGTCGTCAAAATGTCTATTTCAAGAGCTACGAAATTTTCCGCCAAAAATTTCAACGTTCATATGTGAAAACCAAGCGCACATGAAAAGCCGTTGAATTTGCGGGATCTTCCATAAACAAGAAAATTCTAAAATTTCAGCTTTTTGTATTGTTTAGTTCTGGAGTTCGAAAATGTCTCGCCAAATTTTTCATATATTCGTATGTGAAACACAGGCATCTTTGAAAGCTGGATTTGAAATTCCTAGATTTTTTCCACTTAAGTATGAAATACAGAAGCATTTTCGCAAAGTACCAGCTTTTTACCTTGCCTGTTCCCCAAGTCGATAGAGTGTTTATAGTTTCCATAAAGCCTTTTATTTGTCCATACATGAAAACACAGCCTACGTAGAAAATGGATTTTCGTGGTTGCTAAAGGGCAAAAACATCCCTGTAAAATTTTAATTCCCTAGCTTTTCAGATTCCTGAGTAGAAAACTCTGGATAAAATGCACCCTGAACGCACACCTACAAACACACACACACACGGTCAGGGTCGATAATAAGCATTTTGTGCAAATCTTGTAAAATAAAACGCATAAAAAAATGTTGGCGCAGTTTTCCAAAAACCATACCAAGCTTTTCGGGAATAATAAATTTCGTTTTTCCTTCATTTATTTATTCGCTTGGGCATGAGCAACAGTACAGGCAATGTGAAAGCAAAAACATAGGATGTTTCAAAAAGATTAAGATGTACCTGATCCTTACAAGTGGCTCCATTGAAGCAAGGATTAGAGGCACATTGGTCAATTTTAATATTGCAAAGTTCACCGGTCCATCCGGGTTCACAGATGCAGCGCAAAGTATGCAGCATGTCGACGCATAGACCGTTGATGCATGGATTCTGCGCACAGAGCTTGATTTTTTCGTGGCATCGTTTCCCGGTAAATCCTGGCGGACATTCGCAACGAAAATCATTCACAAGATCTGTACATGTTGCATTCATTGCACACGGATTATCCAGGCAGTCATCTAAAGAAGATAGTCTGCATTACTGCAGTGAGACGATGTAGCACTGGTCGGCTTCATATAGTTCGCAGTCAGCTCAGGCTTTGTAGAAACTGATACCCTGAACGAGTAATCTCCCGCTTAAAGTTGTTTTGGTCATAAGCGCCATTAACGTCACCCTACCTATGAAACGAACATCACAAGGAATTATTTTGAAGGGGGTAAATAAAATTGACTCAAAAAAGCAGAATTAAAATTCACGCTCAGTTAGCTGCCGTGTGTGACAAATAAATCAGGTGCCGCACGCATCAGGTTTGTCGGTGTGACAATGAGTTTTTGCATGATTACGCTGTAGCAAGATTGTTCGGACTCATTTAAATCGTCATGTTCTTGGAAAATATCAACTTTTTAGCTCAATTGGCTCCCGAAATCACTTTCCCGTCAGAAATAATTTGACATGCTCGCCCGCATGATAGAGATGTGCGCGAACGATCGTTTCGCATGCACGGTTTCGCGCACAGCAAATATTCTTGCACAAACAACGGAACCCACTCGGTCCACTTTCTGAGTTGCTATTTTGCCAGATATTACGAACTATAATTCTAACTTGTCCGTATACATTTTTTTTTTTGACGCATGCGTACATTTAAGTTGAAGTTAAGATGTTTAGCTCATACAGGAACACAAGGTAACCTAGTGAAGTTTCAGCTTCTTATCTTGTCGGGGTCTAGAAAATATTTTCCCGCCAAAAAATTTGGATAAATCTTTCTAGGCATCTGTATTTGAGATCCAGATGTTCGTGAACGATAATATTAAAAATAGAGCATCGCACATAGGGGTATGCTCCAAAAATTTCAGTTTCCTGATTTCACTGATTGCTGAGTTAAAAGCGGGTGATAGAAGTGCAAACACACTCATACACACACACACACACACACACCAACAACAACAACAACAACTTCTCGTCAATGTGCATTTTTGTATTTGCATAAATGTGCAAAAGCGCAAAAAACAAAAAAAGAAACCAATATTAATGGAGCACGTTGGCCCCGTCCAGCCAGGCAAACATTTGCACTTGAATCTTCCCAACTGTAGCGGGACGCAATCTGCACCGTGCTTGCAAGGATTATCCATGAAGCATGGATCCACAATTTGCGAACAGTCCGGGCCAGTAAAGCCTGTCCTAAAAATATTACAAAGTCAGGTGTCCCCACTCTGCTAAAGCCATAACAGCAGATTCCTTTGCACAATCGCTGCAGTTGAAAAGCAGGCCTTGTATGTTTCCAGCCCTACCGAGGTAGAGCATACAACCCCTTTGATGCATGATGAATTTGAAAGTTATGCGCAACTGCAAATCTCCCAGCCTA